AAACAAAAGAAAGTATTTCTTTACACAATGCACAGTCAACCTATGAAACTCATTGCCAGGGGATGTTGTGAGGCCAAAAGTATAACTATTTAAAAAAGAATTAGATAAGTTCCTGGACAATAGGCTCATCAATGGCTATTAGCCAAGATGGTCAGGGACACAAACCCATGCTCCAGGAGTTCCTAAATCTCTGACTGCCAGAAGCTGGGACTGGATTTTAAATTGCCCTATTCTCTTTATTCCCTCTGAAGCATCTGGCATCATCCACTGTCAGAGATGGGATACTGAGATAGACAGACCACTGGTCTAACCCAGTATGGCCATTCAAATGTTATCATCCTTCCTTCACTCTCCCCAGACTGGTGGTGGCCTGCCTCCTTCACAATCCAAATCTGACCCAAGCCAAAGAATGTCAAGGTATTTTCATACCCGACCTGAACCCAATACCTGTAGTTGGGTTCTACAGGGTTTGGCACAGGTTGCAAACTTCTAGCACCCTGTTTTGATTTGAAAACTTCAAGAAATGGGAATCTACCATTTCCCTTGATAGTTTGTTCTAATTTTGAATCACCTTTCCCTTTGCCCTATGCCTTTCAAATGTACATTCCACACTTGCTGAATCTGTAGATGAACTACTATCCCTCAAGGTCTGTACAGACAAGGTGGATGAGGTAATACATTTTACCGGACCAACTTCTGTTGATGAAAGAGACAAGCTTTTGACCTTACACAGATCTCTTCTTCAAGTGTGGGAAAGATTTGTAGTCAGGGTATGACTTTACAATCCAAAATAGCAATGGGAACACAGGGGTCTCAGGGAATCACTACTGCTCAACCAAGCATTCAAAAAATCATAGGTCAGTCCCTCCACCTCCAAATGATGAGACTGGCTTAAAAATCATGAGTTAAAATAATTAATGTTGGGTTCTATTTATTTTCCTTCTGGCTGATGAGCTCTTAGGGTGCTCAGAGTCAGCTTTTCTCTTCAACTTTGAGGGCTAGAAAGTTGCTTAAAGAAAAAAAACTGAGCTTCTCCTGTAATCCACTGACTATTATGAGCTGGGGTGTTAAGAAAACACCAAATATCATGGAACTCACAATAAAAATCATGATATTTAGCAACACCAGAGCATCATGATAGGGGGGGGGAAGGCCCCCATTAAAAAGAATACTGTGGGGCCGGGAAGAACATCCCACTGTCTCTCTGAATAAACGCTGACTTCTCCAATACTCTGGCATCAGTACTTTCCTTGGTAACCCTACAAAGGTATCCAACAGAAAGTCACAATGGTCCCTCAAAGACTTACATCGCTATTGAAACACAGCCTTTGCTGACCACGTACTCAGTATGACTTAGGACAGAAAACGGGCCTCCAGCCTAGTTTGGGAAGCCCAAACGTACACATCTCTCTCTGTGACCCTAGGTACTTTGCTCACCTTACTCACAGCCCCCGCCGTACTTGGAGCTATTGCTATGCACGCCTCCAGACCAGCCCAGCAGCCCCCAGGGGCTCCCCAAATGCTAAACCCATTGGCCCATATTCATCTGGGTAGCCACCTTCCTCGGGACACCGGGGCCAGCTGCATGCACAGGCAGAGCTCCCTGTGCTTCGGGAGCGCTGGGCCATTGCTGGCCTTCTTGCACTGGGGCTCCCCTCCTCCCGGGGGCGGGGGGGGGAGCAGAGCGTGCGCTCTCTCTCTCTCTCCCCTTCCCTTTGGCTCGGTGAACCTGACCCCTTTCTCCGCCAGGCAAACACCCCCTCTGGGCGGGAAGCGAGGGATTTATCTCCCCCCGCCCCGCCCACTGCCCCCTCTCCCCGGGGGCGGGGCCGCTGCTGACATGGCGGGGCTCAGGATAGTAACAGTGGAGGGGGGTGGTCACGTGGCGTCCCCGCAACCGCGCCGCGCGCGCGCTCTCTCCTGTGGGTGGCGCGGGGCCGGGAGGCCTACGCGATCCCAGGGTGCTGTGCGCGGCGTGGGCTCCCTCCGCCATCCCGCTGGGAGAGACGATCTGTGCGGGGCCCTGCCAACGAGACGCCGCCTGCGCGCAAAGCTCCGCCGCCGAACGGACATGTTAGCGCGGAGCCCCTGAGCGGGACCGAGCCTCCCCCCCCCGCGCGCCTCACGCCGCCGCGGGCACCCGCACCAGCCGCCGCCAACATGGAGGCCGTGAACGCCTTCAACCAGGAGGTGGGAGCCGGGAAGCGCGGGGGGGAGGCCGGGCCCGGGAATCGGTTCTGGGGATCACGAAGCCGTTATCGCGGCCGCCTGCCCCGCTGCTTCCGGCCCCGGGGCGAGGGAGAGGCCCGGCCGAGGCCTCCGCGGAGCCGCAGGTAGCGGCCGGCCTGCGGCCTCCCCTCGCTCCCGAGGCTGTTCGGGCCCCCTGGGTCTGACGGAGGCCGGGCGGCCCAGGAGCGGCCAGCGCCGCGTTACTCCGGGAGAGGCCGGGGGCTCACCTCCCCCTCCCTGCCGCACGCACAGCGCGCGGGCCGCCCGGGAGCTGGGGAGCGCGGCCGGGCCCTCGCGCCCAGGCGTTACCCCGGGCGCGCTGCGCCCCGCGGGGGCCGGGCGGTTCACAGCCGAGGCGCCTTGTTCCCTGCCAGCGCTGGGGGAGGAAGCGACCACGTGAACGGGCGGCCGATAGCACTGGTTGGGCAGCCCCAAACGAAGGGGCTGCCTGCGATCGTGCAGGAACTTCTCCGTGTGTGGGTACGGAGCAGCGTCTGGGGAAAGGGTCAGGTGACAAGCCCCGAAATGAAGCATGTGGCGGGTGGGGAGAAGTAGGGAACGGTCTCCTTTCATGAGGCATGGAAGGCCCTTGTGCCATCTCCGTCACTCTTCTTTCGGCTGCTGCTGCTTGTTGCAACTCTGCCTGATCTGAAAACTCTCTAGCTAGGCAATAATATACCAGCGATTGTGTCTTCCAAATTGGACATCAAAATAGGCCGGATCCTGATGTCTAAATTTTTTTTCCCCACCTAAATTTAAAATGAATGTGTAGTTGGAGAGAACTTTAAATATAAGTTTTGGTGCATAGAATGTTCTTGCAAATCATTTTAGGGCTACACAAGGTGTTAATTGTAGTGTGTTTTCATTGCAAGTAACCTGCCAAATCTAATCCTATCTTAAATGTAAGGTTTGCAAGACTTATTCCAGAATGTGTAATGCATTTTGAAGCTTAGTGTGCTGTGAGTGGTTGCTGAACAGAAACAGTAAAAATGGCAGACTGCTCTCATGTGACAAAGTCATGCTGTGTAAAGTTCATTCCTTGCATCTGCTTGTCAGTTGCACTAGACTAGAGTATCATTATGAACACAATTACATACCTACATACCTTTACTCAATAACTGACTTTGTATTTTTCTCTTTATGGTATGATTTTTCTATTCTATTCGTGGGGTCTTTACATTTTGAAACAATACAGATAACTCCATAGCTAAGGAGTGAATTTTGAGTGTGAATTTTAACCATCACTTTTCATTTAAATTGTCACGTTCCTTATTTTGACACAGTTGGCAGTTTGATGGCTATCCATTTTCCACATTTCAGGCATTTCAGTGCTGGTGTTTTTAAACAGAAATCTACTAAATTAAATTAATTGGAGTTAGATTGCACATATGATGTGCTTTCTACTCTTATTAGCACGTAGGACAGAAATAGCTTTTACCTGTCTAAATATCAGTGGAGATACTAGCAGTGCTTGCCATTTCATTCATCTCATTATATTGCTTCCTTGTACGGCTTAACTTTGCTGATATTGGACAAAATGCCACTCATATAAGTATACAAATTTTATTTGCTGACCCAAATGATTTAGGGAAATGTGTTAATTTAGATAACCATCAGTATCTCTTGGTATTTTAAGTAATCTCATTCCGATGTATTCAAAATGGATATGTCTTAAATAACACATCTGGGTGCCCAAGAAATAGTAAATGTATGATGCCTGACTCTGTCAATATTTTACTTCTGGATACAGAATAAAAAAGAGTACTTGAACTTCTGGTAATTCTGCAGAATTTCAGTTTGATAACTTATGTGAAGACTAAATTTTATTAAAAAATGTATCCAGTTGAGATTTTAATATGATTTCCCTCACAAATGGCTTATTCTGTATGGTTCCAATTCTGCAGTCACTTGAGCAGTTGCTTAACTTTATGCTCAATGGGATTTACTCATCTGTTCAGTTCAACATTTAGTTTCCTGGCTTTCTTTTGATGCCCACAAGGAATTAGTTTATATATTTGAAAACTAAATAAAAAACTTGGCTCTTAATCCCTTCTCTGAACTTCCCAGTTTGTCCTTTCGTCTATATCTGTATGTTGGATTGTAAACTGATTTGGGAAAACACTAAATTTTCTACAGCAATAAGCACATCGTTTGTGCTAAACAAACAGTTATTCTGCCTATTATATTTTTACTCAAATTTTGAGCAGATATTGCCAACTGGTGGTATTTGGTAGCCCAGTAATGTAGTGTATTACCCTTCAGCTAACTAGTTTGAACCAGGTACTCCTGAAACAATGAATTAGAATTTGTGAATTTTGTTAAAGTATACAGTTTTGTAGTTAAACATATAGTGAGCATAACTAATGGGTAACATGTTGAAGTGCAAAATCTTACTAACACATTTCTTGAGAAAACTAGTATACGAAAAAGATGACCTTGACACCCATGTGAAAAAAGCATGTAATGTTTCTTTTCCAATGTTCAATTCGGTTATATTTTGGTTTGGCAGTGTAGGATTAGCTTTTGAATTTGAAAAAAAAATTGGTTAATTTAGCAATTATAAAAATTAGGGACCAGTACTGCTTATTATAGGCCTCTGCACAGTAAGGCCATGTCTGCACTAGAAATGCTGCAGTGGCAGTGCTGTAGCACTTCAGAGTAGACATGCTACACCGACAGGAGGGTTCTTCCGTAGCTGATCCACCTCCCCAGGAGGCAGTAGCTAGATCGATGGAAGAATTCTTCCATTGACCTAGCACTGTCTACACAGGGAGTTAGGTTGGCTTAATTACATCACTCGGGTGTGTATTTTTCACACCCCGAGTTACGTAGCTGGGTTGACCTGACCTTTTAATGTAGACTTGGCCTAAGCTTCTGTACTCAGCTTTGCCAATGAAAGTAATATAAGAGCCAACAGACTGATAATTGTGCATTGTTATAATTTTATGATTGTTAAGAACCAAGCGGTGTCATCACTCACTTCTACATGTGACTCAGGGTGGTGATAAAGACACTGTACTTCAAGTCAATAACTCCTCCTTCCCCCCCCCCCCCCCCCCCCAATCAAGAGAATGGATACTTGGGTGGGCATTTCTTCTTTGTCTACAACTGTAGCTTAGTTCTTTATTATTTATACCTGGGCAGTTGACCAGACAATTGAATATTTGATCTAGTATAGCAATCTTATGCTAATGATTGATCTCATTTTGCAATGTCAGTGTACCTCTATCTTCTCCTCCCAATCTTTTCCCTAGTCACTCACCTGTTATCACCTAGCATTATTTCCTTACATGAAGAGCGCAGTATTATAGTGCAATGCTAGCTCTGCTATAATTAAAGTTAGAACAGCTTTCTGTTTAAAGCCTGACTCTTTTAAATGCTCTAAAATCCTCATCGTTACTTGGATTGCCTCGAAATTTGGTTTGCTCTGTGGAGATACAGAGTAGAGTAAGTGATCCAAGTTTGGGGTAATTTGATCATGCGGGATACTGAGAGAAAATCTCTTCCCCCCCCCCCCCCCCCCCCCCAAAAAAAACAGCTTTTCTAAAGGTTGATGGAGTCTGCCAACATATTTTTGTTCAGAGCCAAGGAACTGATCGTGCCCAAAATGGTCTCCATTGCAGGATATGTACTCCAGCTATTGCAGGGAATCCACTGCCCCTTGAGGGGAGCAAATTGAAAATAATAGCAAGAGAGTTCAGCTCTCTAGTTAGGCATATGCCGAACATTCAGGCTTACTGGCCAGCAAGTTTTCGCTACAGCTGGGTAGCTAAAGGGGATATACAGTAGCCATTGAGCCAGAGCTACACCCAGCCAGTGTGAGTTCAAGTCTGAAACTAGAGCAGAAATCTGAAAAAGATTGGAGGCATGTTGCTAAAGTATGTCTGTCAGGTGTGTTTTTGGGGAAATGTATTGAACCAGAAAATAAATTCTGCATGCAAATGCTTGCTGGGATGGTAGTGGGGTTTGGGAGCGGAGGAGTGGGGGGGATAGGGGTGTGGAGCTGCATTGAGGGTGGCAGGAGGTCAGACACTGGGAGTGGTGACATGGAGGTGGGTGGCACAGCAAGAGAGAGGTTTGAGGGTTGGGGAGGTGTGGAGTATTGGTGCTCTACAGTTAAGATTGAGACGATTGAGTGCTATAAAATCCACATATGTACTTGTGTTGGCTTGACTTTTCCTGTGCTTCATGGGGATGTGAGGTGGGGACAGTGAATCAAATTGGGGTCATTTGAGCAAGAGGTTCCCAAGATACAGCATCCCTGAAAAATGTTTTTATTAAAGTTCACAGATTCTACCAGCATTTTTTGTGCATACCTGGCTTCTGAAGTTCTGATGGCTCGATGGGACAACAAGGGGAGGGTGAGCTGGAAATGATGGAGGGGGCTATATGTTGCTGGGGTGTTATCTATTCCCCCCCCCCACACACACACACACACATCAATTTTCTCACCGGTCCTTAAAGTTACTGTAACCACTGTGTAATAAAACTCAACTTTGGGGGGCATATAACATGTGTGAGACTTCTTTCACCGTCCCTGTTAGCAATTACACACTCCAAACATTTTAGAGCATGACCATTATTCCTATTCCACAATAACAAAGTGGTAGGGGTGATGTTGGCCAAGTCACGTAATTTCTCTGTGTGTCAGTTTCCCCATCTGTACAATGGGAATAATGACATTATCCTCTTAGGAAAGTGGTGTTGAGATCTACTGATGAAAAGTGCTATGTAAGAACTAGGTACTATCCTTACCTGGCCACAGTAGCATCCTTACAGCAAACCTACATGATAAATACAATTGCCTAAATGACCATCAACTCTTACCAATGACACATCTTTCTGTTTGTTTTTCTTTCTGTTGAAAAAACTAGAAAATTCACTGGCAAAAAAATTAATTAACATAGAGTTAAGGTTGCCCAGTGATGTATTGTGCCTTTCAAGAAAGTCAAGTTCAGCAA